CTCTCTCTCTCTCTCTCTCTCTCTCTCTCTCTCTCTCTCTCTCTCTCTCTCTCTCTCTCTCTCTCTCTCTCTCTCTCTCTCTCTCGTAGCCTGCCAGATAGTGAGAAGTCAAGTAGCGAGAGGGTGAGGGAGAGATGGTGGACTTAGAAGAGGAAGAAGAAGAACTCTCTCTCTCTCAGTCCAGTACTAACCTGTGAAGGTGGCACCCTGTTGCAGGTACATCGAAGACGAAGCTGGAGCTATGGCACCACATGTAAGTCTCCCTGGCCTCCGCCACCTCTCTCTCTCTCTCAATGCTACTCTAAGCTCCTAGCAGCGCCCAGCACTGAAGACTACTCCTAACGCTAGCTACTACTACTGCAGCATTCCTGCAGAGTGCTGCTGCCGAATCCTGTAGACGGCCTCCTGCCTCCTGCACGTGAAGTGCCCGTGAACTGCCTGCAGCCTGCATGGCGGACCAGTACTATATGGTGCTGGACCGCCCTGGGATGCTGCTCTTTCCCATGCCGAATCGTACCAGACACTGGCGTTGAAGTTCAAACAAAGGTTGTCTTGAAACAGGCCCAAAAATGGCCTGCGCTAAACCCTGGTCCGGCGCCTAAGTTTCAGGACAGGTCGACTTTATGAGGGCCTGAAAATGGCCCTCCTTTTCAGGCTTTTAGGCTGAAACAACACAGGGCCTGGAGGGCCCTTATTTTCCGTCTGGTCGGGCCCTCCAGGCCCGTGTGGATGCGCAGTATGCCACAGCAGGTGTATATGTATGTCTATGCTTACGAGTAGTTATCTATGTATTCATGTTGTAATGTTCGCTATACTAACTCCATAACAAAAGCATCACTATGTCACCCATCACTTTGTCACCCAAAGTCACTGATACTCGCGAGAAAGGAGGTTGAGCTTATGCCAGGGCTGGGCCGGCAAGTGGCCGATTCAGCTTGCCCGGCCCAACCGGATCCGGACCAGCCCGGGGGGGGTGAACCGGGAAACCGTTTTCTTTAAATAAAGCTCAATTCTTTTTTCTTTTTTCCTTTTTTTCTTTTTTGGCGGATTCCGACTGTGCTCGTCAAGAGCTGTCGAAATCCGTAGTAAAAGTTTGAGGGTCCATTTTTTTTCCGAGGGTGCCCCAGGGGGAGGTGGGGATATCATTGGGATATTCACGGAGGTGTCACTTTCAGGGGGAGGGGTCGAATAAGCAAGGTTACTTATCCGGCCCCCAGTGGCCCAAGAACTTCAGTTCAGCAGCAGAGAGCATTCGGGACTACGCGCACAGCCAGTAAAATCCTCCAGCCTACGAGACATAAGAGGAGTGGATCCTTAACAAAACTTATAGCTTTTCCAGAGTATAGTTCGACAGCAGAAAAGTTATGGTGTAGATTTCAGCTCGTGCAGGCAGAGCGTTTTCTGTTTGTTCTGGCTTTTTTTTTTTACATACGCTGGGTCATCAGTGTCCTCAGTCCGAAAGAATCTCGCCTGCCTCTGTCCAGATACACGTAGTGGAGCCAGGTCCATTCTAGATAGATTGAGAGAAAAATATAGCTTAGGTCCATTCTTGGGCTTGCACCTCAGACAGAGCCGAAACCCAGACCCACGACTCTTTCCCCAGAGCTTAGCAATGTTGCGGAAGCATATAACCTCAGGAGAGCGACTGGTCCTCCATAGTAATTCCCTCGTGGCTGAGGATGGACAACGGGTCCGTGGTCTGTTGGACCACACAATGCCAAAGCCAAATATGAGGCCTGGTGGACCCCCAATGTTTTAGAAACCGCATGAGGCGGTTGTCCCCCGCTGATCTGCAAAGATCACCGGCAGAGATCTTTCGCTCGTTGATTTCCAGAAGTGGGGCCCAAGAAGCCCCAATCTGTTTTTGAATAGGAGGCCGTGGCCTCACGGGCGCTGGGCAGTCCCGGGGATGCCTGTCACTGCCCTGTACACCCCCTCCAGCGTGATATGCTGGATTCGACTGGGGGTCGGCCCGGTCGACCGCCCGGTCCGACCGGCAGGCTCCCGGGTGGGGGAGGGGCCCCCGGTCCAACCGGGGACCAGCCCTGCTTTATGCACACCAACCCTGCAATCTTAGCAGACTGTTGATCCAAAACCCTGACTAGAACTATTCGTTCCCAACTATTTGTGTGTGTTTTGTCATGTTTGTTATGAACAACTCCACAAAAATAGCATGACTGTGCTAGACCGTTTCATCGGATTGTCACTGACTCAGCAGGAGGTTGAACCCCAACACCCAGGATGCATTTGACTTATGGAGATTGTCACCGACTCAGCAGGAGGTTGAACCCCAACAGTCCACCCAGGATGCATTTCACTGATGGATAAGGAGTGACCACGTCACTCAGAGTTAGAAATACCCTGTTGGGTTGGTCCTCTTCTGATTCATTGGGATTTAAAGGAAGAGTCATTTTGCCGAGTTCCTTCGACATGGTTATCTCAAGCTCCTTAGTATACTATACTTGTTCACCTGTGTCAGTTTGGGGTACAGTTCAATCTGCAATTGATTCTATCAAGTTTTTTTCCTGGAAAGTGAAGCCCTGTGTTCAGTAAGTGTTTCACCAGCCAGATGTTTCATACTCAGAACAAACAAGAGTGTGCAGCACTGGGAAGGAAGCCCAATGTACAACAACAGTGAGTAGAACCATAGACTGCAAACCCTTTTCCAAAGTTGCTACTCAGGATTTGCAAGGTGCAATACTCAGCACACCAAAACTCACCTATCATCTTCAACACCACAGGCCGTGGTATTCGAAAAAGAGCTTGGAGCACAGCTGCCAGCTCTTCACCTGGAACCTCATCAATGGTGACTTTCATCCACAGATTGTCCAGGATTTCCTTTGCTGCAAACAATACAGAGAAAAATAAACTGCAAAATTAGTATCGCCCCAAGCAAATCGACGTCAAACCTCTGAAATGACCTTTCAGAAAGACAGAATTCAACGAAAACCACAGCTGTGACACGAGGGGACATTTTCTCCATTCTTTCACTGAAATGAGACAGCCCTTGCCAATACTGAACTTAAAAAAGCTAGTGTAGCTTTCCAAATATAAGCCCCTCATTTTTTTAACAACATGATTAAGACCAGAGCAACCTCTCTTTTCTAGACAAAAATACATGGAGAAAGTACAAAGCTTCAACAACTCGTGAGAAGAAACAGGAACACCATAAGAAATCGCACATCTGCAGTAGAAAAGGATAAGGACGTTCTTGTTTTTATCACTCGTGCAGAACTTGCCCCAAGGAAAGTCTGGGACTGAACCTAGCCGTAATGCCAGCTAGGAACATCCATGAAAGCCTCAGGGCCGACGTTCCCTCACTGTTACCTGCTGCGCCTGCACACGGGCCCATTTCAAGGGGCCCGGCGGTTGCTGAGGGACCCCCAGACCGCATGCCATCAGACATGCGCCCTGGAGGCCCACGCCGGCCCCCAGGCTGCAGATTTCACATAAAGGCGGCAGTATTTATTTATTTATTTATTTACTTACCATTGCTTGTCCGTTGTCTGTGCAGACGACATTTCGGACTTGCAGACCCCAAGGCAACGCCTTGGGCCACGTACAGAGACACGAGGCCCTCCCGAAACCAGGCGCGTTTTGACACCTGACTAAACGGTACCGGTACCGTTTCGGACCTTCGGCACCAAGTGGGCCAGGTGCAAAGGAACAGGGCCTGATCCAGGCCTGGCGCATTTTTGCGCCTCCTGCATCAGCAGCATGGTCTGGACGTCCGGTAGGGACCCAGACCAGTTGGGCCGTTTCTGAGGCCAGCACCAGGTAGGTTCAGCCGCCCAGCGCTACATAGAGCTGGGCAGCGGCTGGGCCAGGGACAGTTCGGGCAGCTCACTTCTCAAGCGACACGCTGCTGGACCGGCGCTGCAGCTTCGCGCTGCACTGCGAACTGGAGATAGGGGAGTAGGTAGGAGAGGGCGGAGGCCATACCTGCAGACGGCGGACCTACCTGGCCCCATAGCTGGGACTCCGCTCGCGACCTGCACAAGACAGCAACCACGCGGTAGTCAGTGACGGCGGTCTTCCTGCAGGTGAGATAGTAGGGATGACGATCCCCTCGTCTCCCCCCCTCCATCTCTCTTCTTCTTCTTCTTCTTCTTCTTCTTCTTCTTCTTCAGGTACGAGAGTGAGAGTGGTTACAGGCGGAGGATATAGGCAGAGGTTACCGTGGGCATGGCGGCCATGATCTGATTCGACATTTCTGAGACAGACATTGATTGGACATAGGCAAGAGACTATTTTTGGACTTCGCTATTGCGACTTACCTCCATCTTCGTTGCACGCTCCCTTCCATCTCTCGTCTGTGGTACCTCCCCATGTGTGTGTACAGGAGGGACCTTTCTTCTTGTGTGCGGTCCCTCCTCCTCTCACATGTGTGATGTATGATGGGATGTCGTGTCAGTCCCAGTCAGGTCAGGACTTATCTTAAAGTCTTCCGTTGCGCTACTATGTGCCATTTTGTATGTATCAGCGTGTACATTGCTTGTTGATGCTCAACTGACATTGCGTTGTCCATTCAGTCCTTTTCATCACATTGCGGATCCTTGGCTCTACGTACATTGCCCAACTGGGCATGTATCACTTACTCACTACATCCAAGAAATACATGACGCAGCGCACGATCAATTCAAAAATCCATTAGTATATTTAAAAGCACCAATTGTGAAGTCAGTGAAGCTCTGTGGACTACTGAGATGAGATGAGCAGCTGGCTCTACTCACAACGTGCTCCAGACTCCGACATTGTGCCATGCCCTGACCGTGTGACGGATGCCAGAATCTGGAAATTGTGTGCAGCTTCAATGACCTGCTCATAACAACAAACAGAAGAACAGCATGACCACAGCAGCCAGAAATCTTCAGCACAGCTCCTCAACAAGCAGCTACACAAAGTGATTGCTCCCATTGTCTACTGGGCTGCCCATTTGCCGCGGATGTCGTTTCTGCTTTTCACCTTCAAGCATGGACCAGACTCTACACATTTCCTATTAGCTGGCAAGCCACAGGTGCTCCACCCACAACCTGCCCCCATTTTCGCTGGAAAGTGGGAACTTGGGATCACAGACAGTCCTCCCTGTGGACCCCAGACCTGCAAAGGCCTGTTCACAAAATCCGTGCAAATGTGTACTGCAAGCAGGGAGACTCTAAAAGATCAACAACTCCCTGCGAAGCCCATTGGAAGCATGCTCTGAAGTCTTTCTTCCTCTTTACTGCAAATAGTTTATTAGCAAAGAACTGCTCTTCTATGATCTGATCCACTGTGCCCCTTCCGTTCCCGGAACTTCACATCTAACTCTGTTCACAGACTGTGTTAGACGGTTATCACCTACATGCAAGACAGACTATCCTCATTGCAGGCCAACTCATTGCTGCAAACCAAGAAGCATGCCGAGAAGACTCCTTTCCAAATTTTACCTTGTTGCTTTAAAGGAAGGACATCATACGCAAAAAGATGTGCTGACATAGTGTAGATCTGCCGCAAATAGTACAAGGCCTTCACAGGGCCTCCAGAAAACCTCGCAATTCTGGAAACGTCTCCCAATCTCTATGTACGCTGAGAATAAGCTCTGTTATGATGTTATCTACATTGGGACCGATCAGATTCCCCAAACTAACTTGGAACACGCTTGCCCTCACAAAGACAGGATCTGTACAATGCCCTTTATAAACACAGGGCATGTACAATGGCCTTTATAAACAGCATCCATATCAGCATCCATATCTTTGCTAGGCTATCTTTTGCTGCAGACCACGCACACAAACAAGTAACGATCACACACCCCCGCCCCACGAGACCCCACGAGACACTGCCCATTGCTCTCTCTTCCAAAGGGCCTTCGGCACCCTCCACGGACCACTAAGCATCAATTCTGAAGTTGAGGCTGCCATTGCATAAATCCTTGTACGGCGTAGGGTTTCATGTTTCTAGAATTGGTATCCATATCTAGCGTTATGGGTGTCTCTGTACCCATACGAGAAGCCACGACTTTCACCTTTCCCGAACAACTACCGTCTTGCCAATAATTGTTTCTCCATAGTCTCTACAGGTCAGTTATGAACATGATTCCCAGGACACACGGTTTCACATACTCCAGCTTTGGGGTCAGGCCGCAAGCCCCACTGGTGCTAGGTTCATGACAGGAAAGTAGGAAGCTGCCCATTATCACGGTAACATTCATATTCTCCAAACATGAACAAAGCACCAGTGGGGCCTGGCCCTTGCACTTCTCTACTTCTAAAATAGTTGTGAAGCACATGTCATTACTAACAATTCACACAGAGCTCCCGTCTGACCACCCTTTTAATGTCACATGAGTTTTCATGCTTCTGGAATATAGAGCTTCTTCAAGGGAACTTGTATAATCCAATGTGCATACAATAGAAAAGATTGGAAAGTCTTGCCGGCGAAGGTGCCTCCGATAATTAAGTAGACTTGTATCATCCAATGTGCACTCAATGCAATAGTGATCGTGCCCAGCAAAACACTGGTGCCCGAGGGACCCGCCCCCGGGCGTGTGACGACCGGCACAGGACCCCWGTTGTCGGTCGCGGATGGTACCGTCCCAGCATTGACCATACAGTCAGGCTTGGACTGTGTGCACAGCAGGGCGGACTACCCTGTGTACCTTCCCCCGCAGCTCACTCCTCGGGACCAATGAATGGATAAAGCAGTGAATTCCTTATCCAGTAAGCAAACAGCAGATCGCTCTTGGCCTGACAAGTAGGGATTCTAGGTAAGCTTCACCCTCTCGTTCACAACTCGGATGATTTTCCATTCCGCTCCAAGTGCATAAGAATGCATTCCGTCATACGAAAAGAGGAAACAAGAACAGGAGGACAACAACAGTGTAGGGGCAGGAAAACAAGAAAGCAGATGGAGAAGAGCATAAATAGTTTCCGATGAATGGGTCTAAAAGTTTGAACTTCGTACATATGAAGTGTTAATAAAAGGTAAAGCAAATAGTGCCATGAATCATCGTTCGATAATGTTCTCGATAAACTAGTAGGTTTATATAGGACCACACACGTTGAGTCGACGTGAACTGCAAGGCACAATCAACAATCACAATCGAAGCCAGAGAACAGTTGCAGAGATATCAACTCCAACTGAAAAAGACATGTCAGTGTAGCAGCCAAAAGCGTCGTACTATGAATTATATGAAACAGTTATTCAACGGTAATGCATGAAATGTGTGTGCAGAATTACCTCGCCCCTTCCAGGGATGTAGAGCTTCCTATCTTCGAGGAGAGGGATCAACGCGGACAGAATCTCAAATGGTGCCATGTCAATATTTTCAAAGACAATCCAGATGCCTTTAGAGACAGCCTGCCACAGACACCACACACACATCGGGTTGGTTCATAGCACATGGATAAAATTGGAGATCCAACTTTCCATTCCCTTACCAAATACATTACTACCACTGCAAAAGCATCTTAGCGTCAATTACAGCCAGATTCACTTTAGATACTCAGTCTGAATATGCCCTAAGATAGCATGACAAACTCAGCTTCATATAACATGTGAACAGCCCGCATTCTCACTAGAGAAATCCAAAGACTTTCCCATAAATAAAGAATGCAGAACTGGAATTATTTGTCAAATGCCTCGGGAGGACTTAATGCATTTCTGAGTGTGGAACTTGACCGTCAGTGGATCGCAACAGTGCCTCCCCATAGGGTTTGGGCCCTGGGCCTTCCACTTTTTCCTTTCCTTTTCAATCAACCGATACAATCCTGGCACATATTTGGGTCCTCCTGTGTCATAAAAAATGCTTGAGGAACATCCACATAGGAATCATACGCCTCGGGAGCACTTGATGCATTCCAAGTGTGGAACTTGACCATCACTGGATCGCAACAGTGCCTCCCCATAGGGTTCGGGCCCTGGGGCCTCGCACTTTCTCCTTTCCTTTTCAATAGACCAGTACAATCTTGGCACATATTTGGGTCCTTCTGTGTCGTGAAAAATGCTTGAGGAAAATCCACGTCGGGATCATATGCCTCGGGAGCACTTGATGCATTCAAGAGTGTGGAACTTGACCATCAGTGAATCGCAACAGTGCCTTCACATAGGGTTTGGACCCTAGGGCCTCACACTTTCTCCTTTCCTTGTCAATCAACCGCTACAGTCTTGGCGCATATTTGGGTGCTTCTGTGTCATGAAAAATGCTTGGGGATCATATGGTTGTGCTATAAGTCCCCGAAACGCAGTCTTACAGGCCGCCGATTCCCAACACCTTCCAGCCAATGGGAAGGGGGCTACCAATGAGCTGCTCCGCCCCCCGCCATTCGTGCTCCCCACTGGTTGGAACAGCAACATTCCCACTCATTTGCATTTAAGAGTACATGTGGGTCCTGAGGTGGTATTGATTGACATGATGATGACGGTAATTATTCCAACTGCTGCTGACGGTGGTAGACTTATGCCGAGAGTTTTCCGAGGTTGTAATCACGACCACGACAATGATGGCAGTCATTGCTGTTGCTGCTGGCAACAATGGACTAATGTAGTAATGTTGATATTCGCCGTCGACGCATTGTATCAGAATAGCACACCCAAAACAAGTAATCTGTCTGATCAGTAGAGGAGAAACAAGAGGAACTACTATGATGTTGATGATGATAGGAGGGCATTATCCCACAAGTTGCATACAACCTTCCACATCACCCAACCACCACTATAACTTATGTGCTTGCCTCCATTCTCACCCAAACTATGGCTGCCACTCTGCTGCTCCAGTAGCCTCTGCTATAGCTGCACCTGGTAGCTCCAGGAGTTAATCCCCAATGCTTCAACCCTCAGCCAAGCCAACGAAGGAAAGAGCCAACCAAGCAGGCGCTGGATATATTTCTGGATAGGCCAGGGCACTCAGCAAATGTATGTCTGAGCCACACGTTACTTTGTCGAGGCCAGATGCATGATGGAAAATGCAATGTGGCTAGGTCTACATGCTTCTGGAAGCAAGTGTGCCAGCGCTATGATCACATCTCGAACGGCTCAGATGTGCAAGCTCAACATGTGGTCCAGCATCCCAATCCGAAGTTTAATTTACAAACACGGTGGACTAAGAAATTCCGATTTCAAAACCTCGCAAAGGGGGCAAGAAGGGCTGCTTCACAACCATCCACAAGGGAGTGCACAGAGCGACAGGAAGCGTAGTGTCCCTCCTCATCAGGCCCGTGAAGACTGAAATTAGATGCCAATGGAAATCTGAGCAAAACACTCTGCAAAAGTCGAGCCGGAGAAGCTCAGAACCAAGTAGAGGTGATGATCCTGAACTAACCCGCCAGTTAGGAGTCGGAAAAAAAAAAAAAAAAAAAAAAGTTAAAAAAAACCAAAAAAAAACAGATTTGAGAAAGGAGGCCACAGTTGCGAGGAGCCCTGGGCCAAGTTACCCTCTATCAGGATGGGTAGGGTACGACGCACTCAGTGGCTTAACTTTTACCTTGTATTGCCTATCAACGAATGCCTTAACAAGCCTAGAATCAGGGAGAGGAGTAGGCTGAAGGAGCTGTGCGCCATCTGCAAAGAGGGTAAAATTGAGGACTTAGAGCACTGCCTCTTAAGGTGGCCCAAGCGTAGAAGCTGCCTTGATCTTTCCTATGGAGGCACCATAGAGAAGGAAACAGGTAGACTGTACGAATTCCAGTGGCTTCCAGTCGTTGAAAACCTCTACAACTTCAGGTGCTTCACGCAGCATGCAGTCACAATAGGACTGAGAAGGACTAAGGCGGCGAGCAATAAGGGTAGCAGAAAGGTGACCACTACATCGCACACGGCAGGGGTGGAGCAGGGGTAAATCCTTCCTAAGGAGGAAGCAATCAATGCCCTTGTCTCAGAGTCCTTCAACCGTAACGGAAGGAACTATAGTGAGTCGGTAAAAAGGATGTCCAGCCATCAGTGACGATTTCAGCCTGTTTACAATAATGAAAGTTCTGAAAAAAAAACATTAAAAAAAATCGGCCAATTAACAATGCATGATGGCCAGGAACATGGCAAGCACTTCCTCGTCAGAGATTACGAAAAAGGCTGCACTTCTGAACAGGCGGCCCCACTAGCGTGCCAACATGCTCGCATAATGACAACAGGACACAAACACACACCTAACATCTATAATCCCACAGGTACAGCAAAGATTTGGTGAGGGTAGCTACAGACATCTAGCGCAAGAGTGCCAGGCAACAACTGGTCTCGTAAGGATATCTGAAAGCCTATATAATATATTACCATTACAGCATTTTATTTGGGAGCTTGTACACTTGTACTGTTCGACACAAACTTAGGTGCCCATAAGAATCTACGAGTCAACATTCTACGGTCCTCACATAGGGATACAAAAGCTAGGCAGTCCTGCGCCGGGAGCAGCAAGGGGTCTTTTTGAATAATGCCAAAACTTTCATTTCGGCTTTCAAAAATCAAAAGAAAAGAAGGGGGGCAGGGGGGGGTTGGGGGGCGCGGGGGAAACAGAACAGTCAGACAATATTATATACACTTGAGAAATATCCCTGCTTTGAGAAAAGGGCCACATAGATTTTTGCTCGAAAAGACTGTCCAAAACTCTCAAGTGTTTAAGGACAGCACAATTCACGATAAAGGTTATGCAGACTCCAGTGAAGTTTCCTGTCTGACAAGAAGGAACTCGGAACGCAAGAGCCGGAAGGTGATGTTTTAGATTCTGGATAGGAATCGTTATTTCTTCTTGGTAAATAACGAATCACAAAACAAATACATCTACCACTCCAAACAGTGCATCATCATGACAATCATTCCAATGAGCTGTTAGGAGGGACAATAAATGGATGAGGCTGGGGCACTCACCCCACAGCGTTATAAGGTATGCCCATCATTATACTCATGAGGCACCAGCTGTTACGGCAACCACTCGTTCATGCACACGGAGTCGCTTCACAGTTACTCCCCCATCATCATACTCATGAGGCACGAGCTGTTACGGCAACCACTCGGTCATGCACACGGAGTCGCTTCACAGTTACTCCCATAATTGCATATGAATGTACTGACATTATACTCGTATATGATTGGGGGAAAAAAAAAAAAACAGTGCAACGATGAGCCTTTGTATGTAAACATGCTGCGGCCTTTTGTTTCTTACCACTCCGAGCTTTTGCAATTATTATTCGCTCAATCACCAGATGAGGAAGTCCATTATCCTGAAGAGGTTGTGCATACCATTCTGGCCACAGAATCATTCCATTATTCGGGGGAAGGGCCGGACTCACCTTCCAAAGGTGGATAATCGGTTCATAATAAACATTGAATCTAGGCTACCAGTCGGGCCGTCCGGGTGACCTTGTTTCCCGGAAGGCCCGGCCGTGCAAGGACCAAAGTAGGTCCCAGCCAAAACAAAATAAAATAAAAAATCGGAAGAATCTGAAAAAGAAAAAACTATGTTATGCAGAAAAACAAACTGAACAACTTTTGCCTCAGGGTCACACGAAATTCATTCCCAAATAAAAAATAAAAAATAAGCAATAATAAATAATATATATATGTTTTGGCCCTGGGCCACTCTGGTAGCCTAGCATTGAATGCAGAGGTGAGGAATATCAAAAAAATCCAGAAAAATTGCCCAGGCCTAGAATCGGTTCACAATTAAAAATGAATGCAGAGGTCGGGAATCTCAAAACAATCCAGAAAATTTTCCCAGGCCTAAAATATGGCCCCTGTGCTGCAGGCATGGTTAAACTGTCACATATCGCCCAGATTTTGCTTCCATCCTTCTGTGGACCATCGTCAATCAGGACTGATCCTTCAATCCCATTCCTGCTTTTCTGTCTCCGGTTTCCCTTTCTCTTATTCCACTCAGCCTCCCGCATTCCCCTCCTACTAGCTGTCTTGCACCCCTTTGGTTCAACTCTGCACTCATCCTCATCTTCTATCGTGACAATTTTCTCCTCCTCTCACAGCTTTCTCATTTTCTTTGCACCACCCTCCCCCTCCCCCTGCTGTTGCAACCCTTTCGCCCACACCACCTCCTTCTCCCTCCACGTCCACAGTGTGCACTTGTGATAATTTCTCTCTCTTTTCCAGTGGTGCAATCAGACTCACTTTCTTTTCCACTCCGCACTCATGCAAACAGACGGTGAGTCACACTGGCGCACAGCGCCCACTCAAAGCTCAGAGATATGGAAGTCGAAAACACAGTTCAGATACAAGCTCGCTTCAACAGGCTATGGCGCATCAGCGCCTGCACACGCCAACTCTCGTCTCTCTATCCAACACCGCCGTTCGCACTTACTCAACTCCGGATCACCCTGGATATCCCACACGCATACGCACACACACGCTAACACTAACACACTCGCCTATCCGCTATGGCAGCTATGGCCGCTGTCCCTCACTAGCTATGCCTAACTATCTTCTTCAGCCCACTTCGTCTCCGGGCATTCTGCAGACCACCTCGCACAAGTCGCTCAGGCAGCACTTCCGCATGACTTACTCAGGAACGAATGAATGGCTGGGCACTGCCTCTTGATTTGTACCTCTGTAACTCGTTGGTCTGCCCCTTTTCCATGCCCTTGGTGCACACAGTCCCACACGGTACTTGCTTGACTGGACTGTGACTGACTGGGACCGGTACCGCTGACTGCATGGGTTTGCACTGCCAACTCGATGCAGTCGCACTGCCAACGTACCACAGTTGGGCTCACCACTTGCCCACTTGCCTCTGTCTAAACGTGAGCAAACTTCGAAAGGCCACTACTGGGACCTTCCGGAAGTCCGTAGACTTGGCCTTTCGAATACTGTAGCAGCTACGACCTTGACCTTTCAGGACTGTAGCAGCTACGACCTTGACCTCTCAGGACACCTACAGCTACGACCTCTACGACTCGCTAAGACCTCTATCCAACAGGTCTACAGATCGAACCCCTACAACCTACGGAGCGACGACATCCTACCAACTGTGCAAATACACAGGTCACGGGTTCAACTCTCCGGGTCGACACTGGTACTGTACACGGGTCAGGTAAAGACTGGGGATCAAGCCCTGGGATCTGCATTCGCTACTGCTAACAGGTGAATACCGTTTCAGTGGGAAGCGTAGATAGGTGAGGTAGGGCAGCTGAAAGCAGGCAGAGAGAGGGGGAAGACCAACAGCTGGAGCCTCCATGTACACTTGAGGTGCCGCACAGACCTTTGCTCAACTTTTGAAGACCTGGCCTGCTCCCCCGAAAGGCACCCAATCTTAACTTCTTGGAAGTTCTTTCAGATCATTCGACAAGTGGGTAGGAGGAGGATGCACAATCTTACGACTCTAGGAGCCTACTCACACTACCACTTTCCTAAATGCATCTGGCCGCAATTACTGCCAGACTTGGATGGATCTGACTGCAATCCTGTCCAGAGCTGAGTCGAAAACGTCTTAGTCTGAGTATGGCCAAAAAGGCCATTCACAACCACTCCCACGCGAGAATATTTGTCCGAACAGAAACCCCCCAAAAAAGGACCCAACAGAGCTGCCCAGCATGGAACATCACTCCTACTCAGGCTGACTTCTCTAGAAATATGCTTTCAGTTTTGTGCAAATAGTTTTTTTTTAATCTGCTTTCTAGGATGCTACGTCGCCTAATCCAACATCCCTGATTGTTTTCAGAGCTTTCTACAGCTGGTAATCAGAACTAAAAAACCACCAAAGTCGTGGTACTCATAATTTAGCACCCCCCTAGCCAGAACCCCTCTTGAATCTGGAAGGTCGAGCCTTTCTGAAAAGTCCCTCATGTTTTCAGGAGGAAAGGGGCTCACAACTTCAGACAGGTATTCTTTTTTCTTTTGTTGGACAATTAAGTGAGGCCCTCACTGTGGGCTTTCGGCCGCAGCCTCCACAGCCCAAGGGGGGCCCATACTGCCTTGTGCCCACCGTAAGTGAAGGCAGGCCTGCATATGGAAACGAGGCCTATTTTTGCCATGTCTGCATTGAGGGGCGCCAGACAGTTACCACGCACCAATTGGTTGCAGGGCCACGCCTGTGTGAGCACAACATGCAGAGCCTCTGGGCTCACTCCAGCAGTGATGTGGCCTGAGGCTCACGACCAATGAAAACGCAGGGAGCGAGGTGGCTGGGCCTTCGTAGCCCAATGAGAATGCAGCGTGCGACAGCAGCCACGTCGCAGCTTAACTGCTGCGGGGCCAGACGACTGTCTGAATTGGGCCTGGGCGCAGACACTTTGCCCCAACGTCAAGCTACTGGGCACATGCACGCCAGGCCCAAGCAGCCGGAGGAAGGGCTGCGCTTTCCATTTAGAATAGCATCTAGGTACTCCACCTATTTTTCTGATCCTCTGATATGGTTCCTGAAAACTCTCCACTCCAGTTATGAATTCTGTTTCCACCATATCAGAACTACCACGTGAATGGTTGGAGAGTCTCTTAGAACAGAGGACTCCCACTTGGCAGGGTGTGATCTGTGAGTCTATGTACTGTGGGAGGACCTCTCAATGCAGCAATTTCCACAAGACTCCTAGGGCTGGTGCTTTTATCACGCAATAATCCCAGCCGTTGGCCCTGTGGGACACTGAGGCATGGATCTGATTTACATTAGCATTTTTTTACAGTGGTAAAGAGAATCTTTTCTCCTACTTCCTACACCAGGAACGCCTCCCTCGTTACGTCAGTATCCCATCATCCCTATCATATGACTACTGGCAACCTATCCTCTCTCCCACACCACCTCGACAAACTCACAGCCAATCGCCAAATTGATTACCAAATACTTTGGAGACTTGCCTTGCTTGGATGGTAATGCCAATCATCTCAGAGACTTGCCACTTAAGATGACTGGCATTATCATCTTGTTACGTAAACAAGGCAAGCGGCAAGTACCCAACTTCAGTCCCAGATATCACCAAAATGTAAGCACAAGGTAAGCTTCTTCTTCCTCGGGCTCTGGCCTTTACCTCAAATTCCTCTCTCTCTCTCTCTCTCTCTCTCTC